AACCCTTCACTCAACCCTTCACCCAACCCTTCACCTGGTCCTTCACCCAACCCTTCACCCAGCCCTTCATTGAACCCTTCACCCAACCCTTCATTGAACCCTTCACCCAGCCCTTCACCCAACCCTTCACCCAGCCCTTCACCCAACCCTTCCCTGAACCCTTCACCCAACCCTTCACCCAGCCCTCCCTCTCCTCTCCCCCCAGACTACATTGTGCAGTTCGAGGAGGATCGCTTCCAGCCGGGAATGTGGCACAACCATTCCCGGTACCCCGGGAGCGTCAACTCTGCCGTGCTGAGCCTGGCCCCGTACGTCAACTACCAGTTCCGGGTGATCGCCGTCAACGACGTGGGCAGCAGCGTGCCCAGCGTGCCCTCGGAGCGATACCAGACCAACGGGGCACGTGAGTTACCCCTGGCCCACCCTGCCGGGCTGATCCACCCTGGCCTTGCCACTCCCCGGGAGGGCTCTTCCTTCATGGGGTGTGAGACCCCACAGACCTCGTGGTGCGTGACCCCACAAACCTCGTGGTGCGTGGCCCCACAAACCTCGTGGTGCATGACCCCAGAAAACTCATGGTGTGTGACCCCATAAATCTCGTGGTGCGTGACCCCAGAAACCTCATGGTGTTGAGCCCACAAAACTTGTGGTGTGTGACCCTACAACCCTTGTGGTGCATGACCCCACACACCTTGTAGTGTGTGACCCCAAAAACCTCGTGGGATGTTTCCCCACAAACCTCGTGGTGTAAGACCCCAGAAACCTTGTGGTGTGTGACCCCACAAACCTCGTGGGGTGTGACCCCACAAACCTCATGGGGTGTGACCCCACAACCCTTGTGGTGTATGGTCCCAGTTTAGGTTGGGCATTAGGAAGAGGTTCTTCACAGAGAGCACTGGAGTCACCGTCCCTGGAGGTGTTTAAGGCCAGGCTGGACGTGGCACTCGGTGCCCTGGTCTGGGTGATGAGGTGCTGTTGGCTCAAAGGTTGGACTCCGCAATCTCTGAGGTCCTTTCCAACCTGGTTAATTCTGTGACACACCGGTGAGAGAGTGATTTTGGGCTGGAATTTTCTGTCTCAAACCCTCGAGCCCGTGGCTGACGAGCTGCAGAGCAGCAAAGCTCAAGTGGAAACACTCACGCCAAGGTCACTCCAGTGGAACCTGCTGAAGGAAACCCCTGGTTTCAGCTTAAAGAGGAGCTTTCTAAAGGGAGTTTTTCATCCTTTCTGACCACAGGAAGCTCAGGAGCCTGTTGGAAAATGAGACTCAAGTGTAAACTAAGCACCAGCAAAAGGCACTTTGTTCCAAGGTTGCTCATTCATTGTCAGAGCTGACCAGGAGCCCAGACTGGTGCTGGGAGGGTGGGCAGGCCCTGGCACAGGGTGCCCAGAGAAGCTGTGGCTGCCCCTGGATCCCTGGAAGTGTCCAAGGCCAGGTTGGAGCAACCTGGGACAGTGGAAGGTGCCCCTGCCCATGCCAAGGGGTGGCACTGGGTGATCTTCAAGGTCCCTTCAACCCAAACCATTCCCTGATGTAACCACGCTCCAACCCACAACCCAGACTCGTGTTTTCACTTTGTCTGCTCAGTGCTTTGTTTGTTGGACAATACGCAGGAAAATTCCCACAGGGAATTCTCGGGAAGCTCAGGAGTTCTGCTGCACTCCTCGTTTTCCCCCTCTTTGCCCAGAGGTTCCTGCAGGATCTGCTGGCATCTAGTGTTGGCTCCCGACACTGCTCGGCTTTCCAAGGGATGGGCTCGGCTCCTGGGGCCGCTGCTCAAAGGCTGCCTTTCAAAGATTTAGGACATTTGGGGGGGAAAAAAAAGCAAAAAAAAAGCCTCCTAAATAAATGGCCTGGTTTTTTCAAGAGTACTGAGAGCCTCATGTTCCATTAACCTGAATGGGAACTTCTGGAAAAATCAGGCCATTAACTTCTGCCTTGGAAGTGCTTCTGGCTCGCCCAGTTAAAGGGTTTTTATCCACTCACAGGGTCATTTTTTCAACGTTATAAAATGCCTAATTTTTTATTTTTTTATTTTTTACAATGTGAATCTCAGGTCCTGAAATCAACCCCACGGGAGTTCAAGGTGCAGGGACCCAAAAAAACAACATGGAGATCACCTGGACGGTGAGTTCCCTGATGCCTCTTGGGCCTGGAGTGATGGGATGAGGGGAAACGGCTTCAAAGGGGCAGAGGGCAGGGATAGATGGGATATTGGGAAAAAATTCCTCCCTGGGAGGGTGGGGAGGCCCTGGCACAGGTTGCCCAGAGAAGCTGTGGCTGCCCCATCCCTGGAAGTGTCCAAGGACGGGTTGGATAAACCTGGAGCAACCTGGGCTAGTGGAAGGTGTCCCTGCCCATGGCAGGGGGTGGGATGGGATGATATTTAAGTACCTTCCCAACCCAGGCCAGTCTCTGATGATTCTGCGATGAAATAAAAAGCAGAGGACACAAGAGAGGCCGTTGTTAGTGCCTAGAAGAAGGTTTGTGATAAAAAAAAATCATTTTCAATGATGTAAATCAAACAAAACGTGGTGAATAACAGACAGAATCAGGGAGGATCAACAGAGAGAAGGGTTCTTAGCAGTACAGAGGATTTACAGAGCAGCTCTTGCTCTGCTTCGTGCACCACCAGGTGTCATCCACAAACAAGCCATGAGCTGTGAGGAGGCTTCAAATTGCAGTGGGAATACAGACTGGAATACAAGGATAATATATATAGAATATATTCTGTATTATGCACACATTTGATTTATTATATATAATATATATGTAAGCAACCTGGGCTAGTGGAAGGTGTCCCTGCCCACGACAGGGGGTTGGAACAAGATAAGTTTAAAATCCCTTCCAACCCAAACCATTCCAGGATTTTATGGTCCTGGGAGTATAAGTTTCTTTTTCCTGCCTTGGCTCTGGAGGGCAAGAACCAGGTGTATCCTTGTTCCCACTCCCTTTTGGGAACAGAGATTTGAGATTTTGCTGACGGGACCCGAAACCAGCCCCAGCTGCCGAGCGGAACCTTTGGGGGCTCCTTGGAGCTGTTTTTCTCCCTCTCACTTCCTCTCTCTGTTCCGGTCCATGAAGCCCCTGAATGCAACTCAAGCTTATGGGCCCAACCTCAGGTACATCGTGCGCTGGCGGCGCCGGGACCCGCGGGGCAGTTGGTACAACGAGACGGTGAAGGGCCCCCGGCACGTGGTGTGGAACACCCCCATCTACGTCCCCTACGAGATCAAGGTGCAGGCGGAGAACGACTTCGGCAGAGCCCCCGAGCCCGACACCTACATCGGCTACTCCGGGGAGGACTGTGAGTACCCACCCAGCAGGAGCCCACCCACACCCAAGGCTTTGCCCCCTGTGCCTGGAGCCTTTTTGGCACAAAAATCCCCTCCCGGCTTGGATGGGGCTTGGAGCGACCTGGGATAGCAGAACTGGGATGAGCTTCAGGGTCCCTTCCAACCCAAAGCGTCCCATGATTCCACGACTTGGCCGCTGGCTCCTTGTCATGGTTTGAGTAGCCTCAAAATCCAATTCCTGATTCCTAACCCCCCTCCCACATCTCAACCCCATGTGAGATGGGTTTTCCAGACAAAAACACAAGACTCAACATGGGGGGAAAGGAATATATTACAAAGACTATACACATAAATAAATACTATAATACACTGCATATAATCTTAACTCCATTTCTATCTCTACCATGACAATAATATTTACAATGGGCCAAATCTCTTCTCCCTCCAAATAAAACTCCAGGAGAGAAGAAGAAGAAAAGACCCCTTCCAGTCTCTCAGCCCCTTCCTCGTGGCTTCTACAACATGGCCACTTCTTCCTCAACTACCAGTACCACTGCTTCTTTTCTGGTCTCCAGAGATATGTTTATATTTTGCAGGAGCACTGATTGGGTCAAACCCCAAGGGTCACCACCCCCTGGGGGTTACCACTTTCCTAGTTTCAGGGGGAAAACCTGGCTCAAACCACTACAACACTGTTCTGGGCTCTGCCTGCATGACCCAAGTCACCCCACCCCGCTCCCTCTGCTCTCTGTGACACCCAGGCAGCACTTTGAGGGTGGAAAACCCACAGGATTCCCCTCGGGATGAGCTCTGGCTGCGTCCCAAGAAGTGGCATTAACATTTTGTGCCCCCGAACGGAGTTCATCTCAGAGGAGAGGTTTTATGAATGGCCAAAAGGTCCTTAGTTCACCCTGCACTGGATTCTTGTGGCTCTCTGATAAAGCCTCAGCTAAGCCCCAGCCTGGGCTCCTGTTTGCAACACGTTGGCTCAGCTTATCTTCCTTTAAACCTCTCCCCTGGTCACGCAGAACAGCTCATTTAATTCTCTTTTCACCTTTTTCTGGGCTGCTGGGTTATCACCTCCTGTGCTTGCAGCACCCAAAGCTCTCAACCACGATTATCCTCATCCTGCTGGGATAATGTGGTTTGTTGCCAACTGCTTTATCTCTAAAGGAATATATATTAGTTTGTGGTTTGGGGTCCCTGGCTGTGGGAACATCAGGATTACTGAGAAGGAAAGGGGATAAACCAGGTGAGAACCCACGACCCGAGGCTTGAAGTCAAGGGGCACAAACAGGGCACAGAAATCTGAATTAAAGCTGCAGTTTTGGGGCTGTGGTGGCACAGGCAACACACCTTCCAGCTGGGCACCTCCTGGAGGAAACGGGGAAAGGGGAAGGAAAATGGGTAGAAAATGTGGGAATCAGGGTATGGAAGCAAAGCTGGACCCAGCTGAGAGGTTGTTACTGGGAAAGCTCTGCAAACTCCTGGCTGCACCACCATCTCTGGGCACTGCAAGGGTGGGTTTTTTCTAGTTTCTCTTGAAAATTCTGTGCAATAATTATGGGTTTTGGGAGGATCTGAAAAAGCCACCACGTGTGTGTGTTACATGGAGGCAAACCAGGGAGACCAAAGCTCCTGTATCACAGCCCAGGCACAAATGTGCTCTGCCCGTGCCTGAGGGATGGGACAGGGTAGAAAAACACAAAAAAACCCTCAAAAAATAGCCTCTGTCGTGTCTGAGCTGCAGGTTTCTACACACAGCAGGTGAGCTGTGAACAGGAGGTAAAACCCCAAGTGGATCAACAGCAGGTTCTGGGCAAATTCAGATTAATGGCTGTGGAAATGAGGTAGTTTGGGATCTGACAGTGGCCAAGGTAAGGCAGGAGGGGGCTGGATGTGCTGGATCCTTCACTGGGAGAGGGAGGGAGGGGAGCCAGACCCCTTCCTTGCAGCAGGAAACCCTGCTGTGAACTGGATCAGTGATGGACTGATGGATGAGTGACACAGGACTCGGTTTTTTCCCCCTTCCCATGGAAGGAGGCAGAGCAGTCGTGGGGTTGCAGTGCTGTGATGGGACCCCCAGGGCCAGGGCAGAGGGGTGTCCGTGTGTCCGTGTGTCTGACCCTCCTGGGGGGCCCCAATGCCCACTGGTGCTTTATCCCCCTGTGCTCTATCCCACTGTGCTCTATCCCTGCCCGCCCAGATCCCAAGGCTGCTCCCACGGACGTTAGGATTAGAGTCCTAAACAGCACTGCCGTGGCTCTGACCTGGACCAGAGTGCACCTGGACACCATCCAGGGACAGCTCAAGGAGTACAGAGTGAGCAGCCCCAAACCTCCCTCGGGCACTGACTGTTAACACCTCTAATCAGCTCACGGAATTCCCGGGTGGCTCCAGGGGGGATGGGGATGAGAGGGAACCCTCCTCTGGCCACCAGGACACCTGGGCTGCTCTGGGTGCAGAGCACAGGGGCTGAGCTCTGCTCTGGGGCAGCGAGGAAGGGCTGGTTTGCTCTCTGTGGGGCCTGGGGACATCTCCTGTTGGCTCCTCCGGGGCTGGGATGGCCCTTCCTGGAGCCTTCCTGCAGGATCTGGGGGGGCTCGGAGCAAACAGGGCTGTCCTTGTGCACCCCCAGAGGGGCTGGGGGGGTCCTACCCCTGCAGGAAGGTGGCTCTGGGGGTTTTGTGTCATCCCCAAAGTTCCCATGTGGTCTTTTAATGAACCCCAACCCCGCCAAGCCCAAACCTCATGGGTTGTACTGACTGGTCACTACGGGCAGCCTGGATCCTGCTGTGCTTTGGGGTTTTCTGCTAATATTTGCTATTTACTGCTGGGTTAACTACTAATGTCTATGTACAGAGGATGGACCCTGTTCCAAACAAGCAAAAGTCTGAGCAGGGCCCTCCTCTCAGCATTTCAGACCAAAACCACGTGCCCTGCAAACAGTTCCAGCCCCTCCAATCCAACAATCCTCTGGGCTCTGCTCTCCTGGTTCTGCCTCTGCTCTTCTTCTGCTCCGTTTTCTGAACAAATCTTATTTCTGCACGAAATAAGATTTGCAGTCAGGGCTTTGAATGGGAGACTTTCCCAAATCCAGGCTCTCCTTTGTGCCTGGTCGTGTCCCACCTTCCCTCGTGCTCCGGGTGGAAAAGGAGAATGAATCACTTGATTCCAACACTTGGGAATCAGAGGCAGCTTTTAGTCTGAGCTTGGTGGTTTTGCTCTGTGCCCTTTGGCAAGCACTTAACCCTCTTCTTTGGGTAACACCCCTGACCTGGTGGGTCAGGGTGGAGCTGGTGGGACGTGGAGCTTCACTAATTGCTCTAAAAGCTGCTCTTTGCGAAGTTCTGCTCTTGGTTTATATATATATATTTTAAAAAAAATTGTATTTCCACGGGAAAAGCTTCACTTGCCATGCATGTTTCTTGAAGGCCTATTTCTGGAGGGACAGTAGTTTGCTGAAGAACCTGTGGGTCTCCAGAAAACGGCAGTTTGTGAGTTTTCCTGGAGACAGGAACCGGGGCATAGTGTCCAGGCTGTTCCCTTACAGCAACTACAAACTTGAGATGGTTGTGACCAACGGCCGAGGAGATGGGCCCCGCAGTGAGGTGAAGGAATTCCCCACTCCTGAAGGAGGTACGTTCCCAGGGGGGCTGGGAATGTCCCCGTCCCTCCATCCCGACGGGAAAGGTTCGGGCGGAGAGGTCGATTTTTGGGATCGGCTGAGCAGAACCAGCACGGAATTTTAGCACAGGAAAGAAAATTGGCACGGAATTTTAGCACAGAAAAAACCCAGGAAAGAAAATTAGCATGGAATTTTAGCACAGAAAAAAACCAGGAAAGAAAATTACCCCGGAATTTTAGCCCAGAAAAAACCCAGGAAAGAAATTAGCGCAGAATTTTAGCCCGGAATTTTAGCAGAGAAAATCCAGGAAAGAAATTAGCATGGAATTTTAGCACAGAAAAAACCCAGGAAAGAAAATTAGCACAGAAAAACCCAGGAAATGGATTAGCAT